GGGAAACCCACATGAAGATTTCGGGAACGGCGCCCGGAGGCGGCTCGGGCAGGTGCGGTGCGGAGCCTCGGCCGGGCCACCCTGGGCTGAGGCGGGGAATGCCGTGAGGGAAGCGGGGGGGCCTCAGCGCTCCCCGGCCGTACTAAACCGTGTCTCCTGCGGCTTGTCCGGGGCTGCAAACGTTTGTTGGACTAAATTTATTAGTTATCCCCCTTTGTAAATTGTCATGCCACGGGATAGACTATCACGGAGGGAAAAGGTGGCGTCTGGAATATGGAGACATGCATTATTACCACATTTCCGTGCAGTGTAGGTTTCAACATTTAGCTGTCACATGAGCACTCTGAATTCTCTTACTGGTTTTTTTTCCCCTCCCTTTTTTTTTTTTTTTTGTCCATATGTAGAAGAGTCCTTATTGACACTGGGGAACCAGCTATTTCTGAATATATTGGCTGTTTAAAGCAGGCGCTGTCAGAGTTCAGCATCTCAATTCAAGAAATTCTAGTGACACACTGGCATCGTGATCATACTGGTGGAATACCTGGTATCTGCAAAAACATCCCTAATGGTAGGCCAGAGATTTTGGATGTTATTGAAAATGTTAGATATGTGGCAAGGAAAAAACTTTCACTGAGTGCTTCTGTGCAAATCAGCTGGATTATCCTTCTGGAATCTCCATATAAACTACATGTAATTTCATGATACTCTCACAGTGTGTAGAATGACAGCAATGAATAATCTGAATATTGTAGTTGTAGTACTACAGTTTGTCCTCAATGCCCGTGCATACCTTCACAGTGAATTTTTCTTATATGTGAATAAACAGAACCTAGATTACCATCAGCAGTTTACGTGGTATTAAGAGATGTAAGAAAAGCTTGATACTTGTTTTATTCTGTATTGACAGTAATTACAAATTGACCATTGTTTTTGCTTAGGTAAAAACAATAAATAATTAATCTCTGAAAAAGAAACATGCATAACTTTGAGATTCCTTGCAGTAGACCTTTAGTAATTGCTGACAAATTCATGGGCCTCAGATCATGAGGGGAAAGACAGTAGGCCAGTCTGCAGGTAAATTCTCATCTAAAAATGTGTATTTTATGTTGATATAAGAGACGTTTCTGCTTTAGTATCTGGGAAGAGAATAAGCAGTATGGATAATACAGTTCTTAGTATCATTTGGCTTCATCACAGGCTTTACCAGATTTTGTAAAGTTGCCAGGTGCTTATCTGCGAAGGAACCTGGGCACTACTGAAAACAGCATCAGTATCTTCGTGAGGAATTTGGGCTTGTCAACCCATGAGCATGGCTGTAGAGACTAGCAAGGGATATAAATATCTTTCTGGGTTGCTATCCATAGCTGTTCCAACCAAGGCATGCACAGTTCATAACAATAGTCACTGAGGGAAGTTGCAGGTCAAAAACCCTCAGTCCAGTGTTAGGCAAATGTTAAATGGTGCTTCTGTGAATCATAATACAGAACGTGAGCACAGAAATCTTAGTGGTGGTGTAGAAACATGGGGGTTTTGGCTCTTGATGAGTCAAGAGGGAACATTTGTAAAATACAATAATTATTGACATTTCTTTATTAATTTCACTTGTGCTTTTTCATCTTTAAAACTGCTGCTGGTACAGAATACAGTATTAAGATTCAGTGGCTTTCACTACTCAGTGTTTGTGACTCTGGAATAAGGTTGCTTTATAAACATAAAGTTACTGTACAGAATTTCTTGTTTCTAGTTTTGTATTCATACTGTGTAATTATTAATAGTTCTTGTTCCAAAAGTAGCCTTTCTATGGAATTAGTTTTGTTAGTGACAAATTAATTTTCTTTGCTTTCTTTAAATAGACTCTGAATATCGCATCTGTAAGCTTCCTCGTGTCCCTCACCGTGAAGAAATAATAGAAGGAGGACATAAATATTTTTATCTTAAAGAGGGAGATGTGATACAGACAGAGGGAGCCACACTCAGGTAAACACCAATTTCTGCAAGTTTGCTGGATCACTTTATTCTTCAGAATTCTAACATGTATATGTATCCTTACTTCTAATGATTGGCAATCCATACATCTAATCTCATCAACACTTAAGCATGTAGACTTCCTATCGTGATCCAGCAGGGTATGTTTATATGAAGAAATGGTTCTTATGACTGAGGATTATCAGGAATTAGCCTTTGGTTTTTGGCCTCAGCAAAGAAATTAAGAACTTTTCCCTTGAAATATTTCCTCTGGCAAAATCAAATAGGATTGTATGTACTTTCTTACCACTCTTAGATAAGTAGATATTATTAAAATTCCTACTTTTGGGGAAGTTTATAGAAGTCTGGATGGATTATGTAGCATGCCTTTCTTTTTACTTTAAAAATTATTTCCCAAGGAGACACTCAAGCATTTAATACTTAAGATTTTAAATTTTAAACTTTTAACCTCTCAGGTTCTAGAGTGCAAATTTGGGAGGGCTTCTTCCTGGAGAGCACATTACCTGTCTTGTTAGCTTGAATGAGTCTGAAACAGAAAACTACTCTGTCTCACAGAAACACACAGACAGTAGAAAGATCTGACTGTCTGTTTCCAGACTTCTGACTCTAATAAGGCATTATTCATCTAAGGACAAATTTTGCTTATTTTCCTCAGTTTAGATGTGAATTATATCCCACTTGTAGAATATATCATCTGGCTGATAGGGAAATAAAAAAGTAAAAATAAAGGATATATTTGACCAAAAGCATTTTATTTTGTTAGTGTGGAAAAAAAAACAAAAACCAAAACACCAAAAAAAACCCCACCCAAACCATTAAGAGTATTATACTGAATCTTGAAGATCTGTCATTATGCTGAGTGGCCCATGTTTGGACAAAATCAATTTAGAGATGGAAAACAACTTGTTAAATTTGAATTCAAGTATGATAGGGATGGCACATTTTGAAGTTTTGGAGTAATGCAGCCAAACTTATGGTTAGTTAAAAGCAGGTATTCTCACCTGGATAATTCAGTCAGTACTTTAAGGGTAGTCTTAGATCCACCACTGGTTCCAAATTAGCAGTATCTGCGTGTTAAATTTCTAATTAGCAACCTTCAAATTTTCAAGGTGTGCCAGGCAGTGTTGGGTTCTTTTTCCTCTGTTTTTCCATGTTAGTGGTTAAGCTCCCTGGTAAAGTTTCATCAGAAACTGGAAAATGCCAGTTCCTACAAAGACAAGATAGAACCCATCAACTTGATTTTTGTGTTGCCTCTGCAGGGTGATGGCTCACCTGCGTTTTGCTGAACTCAGGAGTCATTGCAGCAACGGTGCTGTGCTTCTGGCTTCCCAGCCCTGCACTGACGTGGCTGGGTGCTGTTCAGCGTTGGCCTGTACACCACGCTTGGCACCAGCTCTTATCAGTTCCTGATCACTGCTTTGATGCATCTGCCATTAACAGGAAGATTCTGATGAATTTCAGCAGTAATGCTGGTCTGAGTTGTGTACTTTCAGTTTGAATCATCCTCAGCATGAGGCCTTCTGCCTTTCAAAAATCGTAGAGAAAGGACACAGCAATGCAGCTCCTTAGCAGCTCAGGTTGCTGTATACATATCAACTGTCTGTTCACTCTTTGGTGCAGTCTAATGCAGTAGTGATTCAAGCTGTGGGGTCCTCAATCCTTACCATTCAGGTGTTTAATGACCTGCACGTAGAACAGCTAAAGGACCGTGATTCATTGTTGTATGACAGCTCTGCTCTACTTGTGTCATGGGGCTTTCAGGGGAAAATAAATTTTGGGAGACAACTTTTTCTGGGTTGGGTCCAGAAGTTTATAGTTAATTTCTAAAAGAATTCTTTTGCTAAGTGCAAAGTGTATGTCAAGAACGTCACACATTTCAATCTGGAAATAACATACCAGTTTTTCTTTTTGAAAGCTTCAGAGTAAAGCCCTCTAACACAAAGTTACTACATTACTAGCCAGCTGCCTTAACGCACTTTTATTATCATGTGCCATGTAAGTAAAAGCACATTAGAGATGACAATTTCTGTTCTCTACTTGGTATAAGAAAATGGACTGGGATTAGACAAAGTGATAACCTGTTTACTTTGACATTTCAGCCTTTTTTGATTTATTCTTTTCTGGTTCTTGTTGTGGGCTACTTTGTAAGTGTATGATTTTATCATTATTTGTTTCTAGCTTTTGAAAATGTAGCATATATGCTGTATGAAACACTTATGCTTTTTGTTGTTGTTCTTTAAACAGAGTTTTATATACGCCTGGACACACTGATGATCATATGTCTTTACACCTAGAAGAAGAAAATGCTGTATTTTCCGGTGACTGTATTTTAGGGGAAGGAACAACAGTAATTGAAGACCTGTATGATTACATGAAAACTTTGAAAAGATTGTTACAAATGGAACTGGATTTAATATACCCAGGTAAATGGTTCTATTTTTAACTACTCTGATTTACTATATACTTTTAAAATATCTCCTCTAAGAATTTGAGAACTCTTATTACAAACACCATTACTCATGTAATACTTCAAGTTCATTACTTAATATATGTCCAGTGCTAAGCTAAGATAACTTTATAGCATGGTGGTTTGCAAGACTTAAACATTTTTCAGTGATAGATACCTTTCCTTCCTGAGACTTCTCCATGTGCGAGTGAACTTTGTGCTTCTGTGCCCAAAGTCTATGGAGGTCAGAGTCTTTCACTGTTGGAATCACACAGCAAATTTTGTTTTCTTACATTACTCTATCCATGCACCTTGGAAGAAAAAATAATAATTGTTTTTTTGGTCCTTTGCATCCTCACATACATTGCCAATGTGAGTAACCTAGTAACGTTAATCGTAAATTAATCTTGGAAAGCTGCAGAACTGTCAAATGGTTGTTTTAGTTAATGACTTAGCTTAAATTTGAACAAGAGGCCAGACATCATGTTCTAAAAATAAGTTGCTGAATCATTCAGTCTGTGACTTTGCTTTCATTTTTTTCCTCTGTCTCCCCCAAACCTGGGAAATACATTTACTTTTCATACAAACCACATGTCTGTTTGATAAGACCAGATTTGAAGAATTCATTACATAACTAAGGTTTAAGCTCCTCATTTGCTTTTTCAGAGCTACATCTTAGGATCTTTTCTGACTTTTTCTGTTTCATCTTCTTCAACTTGTCATTCTGGGCGACTGTGTCTACATTCTCAGTTCTGTCTTCCTCCATTAACCATCTATGTTTAGCCTACATAACCAAATCTCTTTTGTGTTCATTCTTAAAATAGGCTTCTTTTGAAGTAGGTGTTCTTTAAGTGCTTTAAGATCTGAGCATAAAAATGCTGTTTAAGAAAAATATCATGACAGATATTCCGTGGATGTGGAGTCTGACATAGACAGAAATAATGACTTATAGTATATCAACTTATCTACTGCTAAATCTACGAATATTTTAGCCTACTGAATCTCAATCTATTGATCAATTAAATGTTCCGCTTTCTTTCTTAAATATCTACAAAATACAGAACCAGTCAGATACAAATACATCTACATCTACAACCATACAAAACTCAGAACCAGTCTGTTCCTCTAATTGAAATTCTGCCTTCCAGAACCCTATGTATGCCAAATTCTATTTGGTTTATACATTTTACCTGTTGTATTTCGCTGTCTCCTTAATCATTATTTCTCTACGTGACACGTTCACCGAGGCTGAATGTTGGTCCCGTTTATCCGTAGCTGTTCGCTGCGCTGCTGTGTGTTCACGCTGTACTTGCAGTCAGGAAGCCGGTCGGATATTGTGCATTTTCAGTAATGAGCAGCTAAGTATTGAGATGGTTTGGAACTAACTTTCTTTTTTTATCCATGCATCACAAAACATATGTGCAATTGTATAAAAGATAACTATTGCCCAGTCAAAACAATTGTTTATACTATTGGTGTGTAGCACAGTAAAATGGTAACTATAGCAGAAGGTAGTTTGCTTTGCCAGTACATTCTATGTAAGCTCAGAACTTTGATTTTATTGCAGTTTTAGGTCTTCGTAATTATAGAACTCTTTCTCTGTTCCCCCTCTATGCTTTAGCACTCACATTGCAGCCTCAGAATTAGATGTAGGGAGCATAAATTTTTGTAACAAGCTGACTGCTGGTGAGGTGTGAGTAGCTGAATTTTGCTGAGCCTTCCTCTTCCATGTTTCTTTTTTAATTTAATGTGGAAATGACTCCAGGCAGAATACTCATGACAACCTGTTTACAGCCAATAGCTGATGAGAATTCTCAGAACCAGAAAAGGGCGTTTTGGTCAGCAGAGGGCTCCCTGTCCTGTCAGAATAAACCAGGTTCCTTGATAATATAGGAAAAAATGGTACTGGAGTTAGGAATCTGTGCAAGATTTCATGAGCCACTTATTTTCTTCAATTTTATCCTTTGTGCTTTAATTTACTATAAAGTAAGAGAATCTCTATTACTTCACAGGGTGTTATGAGAATAATAACTTACTGTTTCTGATCATCTGGGCTATACAGAGGTCTGAAATACTATGAAGCTGTCTGATATTAAGTCTGAATTATTGGAAAGACAGACATATTTTGAGAGATCTATTTCACATGCTGAGAAACATTTACCAATTATGCAGAAATTAATTTATTTATTGGTGAAGTTAACCGTTGCTGTCCTTGAAAAATCCAGATGTGGAAAGATCCACATCTGGATTTATTTCAAAGCATCTCTTGGAAGAGCAGGGACTGGTTTTAAGACTGCCTTGTGATTCCATGTTCAGTCCTTAATTTTGAATACTTTAATGTGACTTCTGTCATTAGAGAATGCAAGAGAATGGACAGTTACCATTATAGCCTCTGCTCTGTATATCTTAATGTGTTTTTTCTAAATTTAAAGTTTTGGTTTTATAAATGGTAGCATATTTACTAGAGATACAGTTATATTTGTAACTTATTTTGTAAGGAACGATAGCTTCTGATTAAATATGTTTGAAATCATTAAATATGTGTGCATATGACAATATAGTTTTATATTTACATGTTACATTTTTTATTTATAATACTCTTTACACAAGGTAAACTTCAATATATATTTAGTAATTTCAGATCTGCTGAAGCGAGTGTATAAGTTAAGATGCATAAATATTTTGACTTGCTGAAGGATAGATATCTTTGACACTTTTTAATTTCACAGATATTCAAAACATGAAAAATAGGTTGCTATTTTTCTGTAAGCTGGTTGTCCTCAGGCAAAATAAGCTCTAGTTTTAAAACTGTTAAAAATAACAGTGCATTTAGTGAGTTAACCCTGAAGTACAAGTACATAATATGATGATTTTTTTTTTACATAGTCAGAGAACCTCAAAAGATACTGTCTGATTTGGATGATACCAAATAACTTCTAAAAGAAAGCTACTTTTTTTTACAGTAGTTTCTGTTCTGCTCATTTTATATATTACTTGGAGTTTAGACTGGCAGAGCTGAAAGTTGCTGCTGCTACTTCAGGTGAGGTATGCAGGCAAAGAAATAGGAAATCTTGCTATAAAAATCATGTGATGAATATTCATCCAAGTAAATTTTTTTTATAGGTAAAACGTAAGATTTAATTTCTGTACGTATAACTCTCAATAGTTTCATTTTATCTGTCATTTTAGTGTATCATGAAGCAGTATTTGGTTTTTCCACAAAGGTTAGTGCTTTACCCATTAAGCCTTTTTCTAATTTGATTCAAAGACCTTTCAGTAAGTTGAACATTTCTGATCTGCTACAATAAGTCCAGGAAAAAGCATGTATGTTTTGTTTCTTAACCAGCCAGACATAAAATGATGCACATCTAACCTTCTTGTGCATTGCTTATTCCTGCCCTGACACGTTCAGATTGGCTCACTGATTTGTCTTCTATTAATTTTTTTGATCTTATTTTTGAAAGTATGTTCTTAAGGGAATAAAATACAGTGTGTGCGCCAGTTTTGAAGATCTGTCCTGGAAAATTTATCTGTCACAATTAAAGATGTTTTTCTCACCACTGTATTTGGTAGGTAGCTCCATAAAACGACAGTAGTACATGAGTCCTTTGCCTCAGCCACTACTGTTTGAAGACCAGTATCAGTTTAAATCATCACTATCAGTATCCTGTGGGGTGAGTGAGACAGGCAGACAGAGATAATATAATAATCTGAATCTCATCTTTCAAATCTGTTCAGCAGTGAACTCCTTTCCTTTTTTTTTTTTAAATAGCCTAAAGTAGTCTTTCCTTGCTTTCCTTATCTGAATAATTCCCCTTGCCCATTCTGACTTTCTGGGTCCTAATTCTTCCTTTTTATCTTAATTCTTTTCAGTTGCAGACTGGGATGCAGACATTCAAACTTAATTTTGGCCTATTTATATGTAAACACCAACATGCCAAGCGTGACTTAAAATTTAACATCGGGGATACTCGGACAGGGTGGTTCATACAGGTGCTGCTCCCTTCTTAGCACTTTTAAGTCTACCAGAGTTTACGTAAGAATGATTCAATCCTTCAGTAGCATACTTAATTACAAATTTAAGTAATAGCACTGTGGTACATGTGTTTTGATTTAGGTCATGGCCCAGTAGTACGTGATGCAAACGCTAGAATCCAAGGCTACATTTCTCACCGACTTGCACGTGAACAGCAAATTCTAAATGTTTTCCAGAAGAATGCTGGAAAATCATATACATCCTCGGAGCTTGTAAAGATAGTATACAAGGTAATTGTTGATTTAAAGTTTTTAGATCAAACTGAAGAAAATTGAGGTTCTGTTCATAATGTTGTATGTAACAGTTTAAGTATTTGGGAGAAGACCATGGTAGCTTTTGAAAAGAGAAAAAAAAAAATTCTGCTTGTTGAGAATTCATATATGACTGTGCATTTAAATTGTATTGTTTGAGCACTTCATTGGAGTGGGGCCCAGATTATTCTTACAAACTTCTTATTTCTAGATGGTCCTAAGCACAGTTTCGTAGGACCAAGCAAAAATAAAGTTGTAGTGCTTGGTTCTAGGTGAAAAGTGCGAGATGACTGTTAGTTTTTGATTTGTCAAAGTGTGTGTTTGGAATCTCCTGAAAGATTGTTTAAAGCTTCTGGTTCCTGATTTATCAGTCTGCAGGAGGGTGCAGGTGAACTGCAGTTTCACAGAGGTGGATATTGCGCTCAGAAGTTCAGTAGCTTGCACGTGTGATTAGACAGGCATAAGGGTATTTTTTTGGTACTTCATAATTTTTCATGTAACCTCAGTAATTTCTACGTGTGCTATGGGGGTTACCCCTCCTAACAAGCAGAGATGAAAGAGACACAGCATTTGCTTCAGAGGAAGATGTCAAAGATGACGATGGCTGGGGTTTGTGAACAGGTCTGTAACAGCTTCACAACTCATTTTTCATGGTTCTGCTGATCCCCAGTTTCCAAAAGAATGACCATTGTAACAGCTAAACAGCCACTGTTACCTGTGGCTGTTTAGCTCCTGCAGTTTTCCTGCCTGAACCACTAGAGTTTTTAAGTATAGAGCCATTCACATGTTTCTGTAAATGACAAACCACTTGTCCTTTCACCATATGGTAAGAATTTTTTCAGTACTACTAAAGCTTTCATATTAAAAAGGAAGTGTAATCTTTCAAAGCTTTTTTAAAGATTCACAATTTATTGAGCTAGTTTTCTAGTGAATTTTCCTGCCAGACTCCTGTTATTTGGAGAAAACTTTTTAATTTTCAAAAAGAAGGCTTTACTTTTAGAATGATAGAGCTGGAGAGGAGGATTTTGAGAAATGTTACTCAGTTTTACCTAATGAGCGCTGGAGAATTTTAAGGTATGTTTTGTCCTCCTGAAGCTGTTGTATATTCAAATTGTTTACTCATTTACAGATTCTGATTGTCAAAGGATATTTAAACCCATGCAAATATTGTCATGGCATAGAAATGATGGGTATCTGTGGAGAAATGCATCTTTAAATTTGTCTTTAAAAATGCTCAGCTACACTGACAACCCAGTGCAGACCAAGCTCAGAAGAGCACAGTCATCTCAGCGTTGGCCAAAGTTTGCATAATACAAATGGATAATGCACAAATGAGCAAAGTAAACAAAAATGTGTTATTAGGCTACTAGTTTAACTGTTGTAAAATTGATTTACTCATTTCAGTTTGTTGTCATTACATAACTAACTGTATGTTCAACACAGCAATTGAGAAGGGGAAAATCTATGTTCCATATACTGGAAAAAAAAATGGGAGGTATTTAAACAAATACAAAATGCATTATTTGTGTTCCCATTAGGAGATCCCTGAAAATTTACTTCTAGCAGCAGAAAATAACCTCCTAGTCCACTTGAAGAAGTTGGAAAAAGAAGGAAAAGTGTGTAAGTTGTGGATGGAGGGTCATTTTCAGTTTTGTTTTCTATATACTGTTTCTCATTATATTTTAGTGCATTATTTCCTGGGGAGGGGGGGGGCGGCGGGGAAGGCAATTAGTTGCAGTAGCTGTTCTTCAGACAATTTGAAGCAGAATTATATACAGAAAGCCTATGGTTATACAGTATTTCCAGACTTCTGGATAATGTTTTATAAAGTGTGACATGCTTAGGGCATGCTTTTCAGCATTTACCAGCCTGGATAACAACATGAAATCAATGTATTTTTTCCAATTTAGACTTTCTGTTTATTTAATGATAAATCAGCTGCTAGGTACTAATTGTTTGAACAACTGAGACTTAATTTTTATAATAATAATGACCTGCTTTTTGTTCAAAGAAAATAGAGTAGAGTCACATGAATACAGCCATTCCTGAAGTTGAGAAAATTACGTCTTTAAGCATGTTTTGTGCAGAATGCCACGGAAGCTTACCAGCATGATACTTACTGCACCAGCTTTTAAGTGCGATCTCAATCCTTGCTTATTAACATACATTATTGACCTACACACCTCTCCAGTTTGGCTCCACAAGATTTCTCTGGGGTATCAGATGCTGTTGACTATTTATCCTTTACTTTCACTGCCAGAGTAGCTCAAGCAACAGTATTTTCTGTTTAGATGAAGTACTGGATAAATTAACTTTCTCTTTAAAGGTACATTTGGAGTCTTTCCTACAAAAGACTGTGTCTATGTATCTTAAATGTCCAGGAATTAATTTTTCTGAGTGAGCTAGTGACTCTCATCTCTTAAGCCAGGTTTGGTTTCTTGTTTGTTCAGGGTTTTTTTTTTTTCCCCAAAACACCCTTTTCATGCTAACTGGACAAAAATAGCTCAGTTTTCCTCAGAAATCACTTTTGACTTTTGAAGAGACAGCAGATGGGGAACCTGGGTCAGATATCTGTTCACAAAGTAGCAACTGCTTGAAATTATTAGAAGGTTTAAATAACTAGAAGAGATGCTAGTCAGAAGAGTTGTTGTGACTCTTCTACTCCAGTTGGAGGTCCTTGATTGAGCTGTGTGCTCCTGCTCTCCATGAAGCACAAGAAATGCCCTTTGAAGTTTTTTGTTTTGATTTGGTTTGGTTTTTAATCATCAATTTGTGCTCACATAGAAGGAGGAAAGCAGTCTCATTAGAACACCTGGGGGTGTTCAGTGCTGATCTCTGCATTGTGAAAAGGGTTGCTGAGTTTTTAAATACAAGCTTAGACCCAGATCTATGATAAACACTTAACGTGTGACCTTTGTAGGTTTTTCAGTTCAAATTAAGGACATCTGTTAAGGGAAATTGAATCTATTGGTTCTGAGCGTGTAGCATACCAGTGCCTGTGTACTCACTCATATTACTTGTTCATTTGGTTTTGATGTGATGTCCTTTCCACATAGTCTGAGTTGCAGTATTTCAGGTTTTGTTCTCATTATGGAAGACCTGAGTGGCAGTCATAACACTGTCTGCTGAATTTTCACAAAGTATTTTTCCAAAGAAATATGTTGTTGGGATGGGTAATGAATGTGACAGGCATATTACAATGTTACAAGGGAGCTACTGCATGTAAATTATGGCCATATGCCATCTGCTGCAGTGACTAATTCACCACTTCATTCTAGGGATTGCAGTTTATGGTGGTACATAACTTTTATAACTTCAATTAGGAGTGATGCTGCTTTTACAGATTTCCTTTTCTCACTTTAAACAGAAGAACAATGTCTTGTATACAGGAGCATGGCACAGTATGTGTACATGAGCTTTCTCCCATGTTTGGATCTAAATATCTTGGTCATTGTTTTACATTTTTAAAACACAGCTGATAAAGAGATAAAAATAATTAGACAGTTCTTAATATAGCAGCACAGATTTTTTTTTCTCTTAAGTTCATAAATTTCAGAAAATGCAACAAGTGCTCTGCTACCTCAGTTTTCTTAATATCTAGAAATTTTAATATTCTGAACTTTAAATAACTGTAAGATTATTAAGCCCTTTGTTAATAATCATTCTTTATATTGCTAGGTTACATTGTGAAACAGTTAATGTTTATCACCTTCCATTAAAACTCAACACTGGTCTGAAAGTATTCCAGTAGTTTTAATATAAAGTGACAAGTACAGGCATACATATGCATGTAGGGGTTAAGTTTGAGATAGTCTAATGTTTACCTATAGCATCTAAGTGTTACTTTGTGACTAACTCAGTCTTTTTTTCTTAACAGTACGTGAGGAGTCTCCTAGCTTCAGATGGAGAAACAATTTATAAGTTATGCAAGATTGTGCAAGAATATTATTAATCTGCACAGTTGCTGCATGAAAAATTGAATGATGAGCTCAGATGATATGTAAAATAAAAACTAATTCTTCTTTCTTTTAAAAAAAAAAAGTAACACAATTTTACAGCAATGTTACAGTTAACTAATTTTTTCATGTTCTACTTTATGGGAATTTTAAAAATAACATGATAGGTCTGAGTTAATAAAATTGACTGTTGTAAATAGAGATGTAAATACTGGGGTTTATATTCCTTTTCTAATGTAGCTGCCTGCGCACACATTTGCTGGTCGCTCACTGCAACAGGCTTTAACAAATGCTGAAAGTAATTCCGGACTTCTCTGTTTTCTGGTGGAAGCACCATTTATGTGGAATTCATTCAAAGGATTCATTCATTTTAACTAACCAATGTCAAAAAATGCAGAGTTGAAGCAAATTCTTCAAAGGCAAATTCTTTATCTTACAAGATTCTGCAAGAATGTGATTTAAAACCTGTATAAATTGAGGTATGTGTTACACACCATATGAAGTTAAGTTTGTCTATCACTTTTTAACTAACAAGCTTCAGGTTTTGCTGTTAAATCCATTTAAACTACAGATATTATAACTAAAGGTTGAATTGGGTTGTAAGATACTGTATAGTGTATTAAAATACAGTGTTTGAAGATTAATTTAAACTTCAAGTTCAGTTCTCTGTGTAGCTTAAACTTTCAGAATAGTGCATAAATATTTGCATTACTTTGTGTATTTTATGATTTTCCACTTATAATGTTGGCTCAACCTTTAAAAAAAAAACAAACAGAGATATGGGATGTTTGAAAGTACCAAAGGTAAATAAATGTCCTTGAAAATCCTTGAAAACCTTTCACTGTTCAGTCTTGTACCTTAATTTGTGCAATATGCATATGTTTGGGTATTTAAGGCATGTCTTAGTAATTATCATTATTTTATGAAGTTGATGGCATTTGTTCTGATCAGCTGAGCCAAATCCAGTACAAAAATACTGCCAAGAACAGCAATGCAAAACTGAAATCATGTTCTGAAGTAGTAACCAGTCCCCTGAAGAGGAGAAATAGTAACTTTCTGCTCTATGAAATGAAGCTTTTTGCAAACTTAATTGATCTGGTTTGTTGGCCACATCATGGCCCTTGCTCACTCTTAACTTCCAGAGCAGCGCTGTTTTGGGGTCTTTTGCAGGCCTCCTAGTTTTTCGGCCTTTTATATTTTCTGTTTACTTGCATTTTTCCATTTCAGACACTTTTTTTCCCTTCCTCCCACAAACCTGATTTTTTTAAAAATTCCTTTTGGATTGTTTCTCTCTTCATAATTACTCAGAAGCTTTCACATGAACTTCTTGCCATTAATAATTACTGTTTTCCTGTAGCTATTTCATCAGTTTATAGTTACCTTTTCCATTGTTAGGAATAAAACTGTAAATTATCGGTGTTTTCTCTTTTAAAAACTTAATTCACATGCTCCAAATTATGTCATTTTGCTTCAGGAAAACAGATAGATCAGTGAAATGGCACAGTTTTCTGTCATGAGGTCTGAGGACTTAAGTCAGTGGGAAACTGGTATGAAGAGGTGATATCTCATTACCCTTCTGAGCTAAAGAAGAAATCTGCTGGTAGGCAAAATGTCGCCAAACCATTTTCTTCTGTTTTACTACACATAATTTTTAAATGCACAGAAATGCCTTTAGAATTCAGTTAAAGTGGTGTTGGAACTTGCAGGCATGGAAGAAAGTGAGAGGATACAAATCAGAGAATTCCACATGCTGTGCTGTGCTGCAGCAAATGCCTGACATTCTCAAAAAATGAGGGAAAATGCACTTTAACCAGACTTGTCATTAATGATCATGTATGGTGTCTCTGAAATATTAAAAGAGGAGATTGCACTGTTACTACAATGTATATACAATAAAAGAGATTAAGATCAGCTATGACATGTTGTAAAAGTCTTAAGACTCCTTGTTGATTATGAGATTATAAATCATAAGGAATGTTTGTTTATTCAAAAATAGAATGGTAATGTAAGCTATATATCCTGTATGTATAAAAATGGGGATTGGCCTATTTAAATCCCTCTTATTTAATACATACATCTGTGTAGAATGCATTAAAAGTTAAGAATAAAAGCAGGAGAAGTAAATTTCTTTCTCATCAAGCTATGAGGGCAAATGTCATTTGATGCATTAACTTCCTAAACAGCTAGGGACAGAAGCTGGAAGAAGCACAAACTGCATTTGCAGCCTTTCTGCCAGCTAATTTTAACATCCTGTCCTGAAAGGCAGCATCATTTATTAGGTTTAAGACCCAGGAAAGAAGTTTGATGGTACTTACAACCTTTTTTGGCTTCTCTGTTCTCTTTCTTGCTGGCTTGCTTGTTTACACTTTGTTTAAAATGCTGTTCTTGGTTATATCTTTAAGTATGTTTGATGACAGGTGAATTCAGGAAAGGTTCCCAAACAGGAAGGGCATTGTTCTGGTTGTGTCTTGCTGCAGGTGCAATAATATGCTTACTGCCACATCCTCCACAGTTTCATATACCTGAAATGGTGTATTGTGTCTGAATGGCAAGGGTTTGGTAGTGAGGAGGGCCACAGGGGTGGCTTCTGTGAGAAGATGCCCGAAAGCTCCCCCATTTCAGACTGTTGGGAACTTCATTCCTAAATGATGCGATCATTTGGCAGCCTAGCATTTCAAAATACGGACATCTGGAAAGAAACCTGGCAAACTTAGACCAGCAACCCATTGGCAAGAAGCAGACTGAGGGCTGACAGTCTCAGGTGGTTTAGATCCTCACACTTTGAGTAGTAAGAAACATCCTGTGGTAGAAGAAGGAACTCAAATAAAAGGAAGGTGTTGAAACTGTCCAGGCAACAGGTTGCCTTGTTTTCCATTTCAGTATAGCAGCTTACACTATGTCCTCAGGACAAGCACAAAACCAAAGTGAAACCAAGGAGCTCTGTGCCTGTGTGAGAGGACTTGTAGCCAGACACTGGAGACACTTGCTGATTGCAGCTTGAGGAAAGGCTGTCTTGTCCCAGTTAGGTCCTGTTTGTTATGTTGATGAGATGACCTGATTTCTTTTAAGGGTGAGATGAGAAATAGAGGCAAGACTACACTTTGGAAAGGATTCTAGTTTTTATCCCAACCCAGTGTGCTTCACTGGTGCAGTCATGTCACATCCATGATCACGTGGTATGCGATCAGGAATATACTTTCACATTGTTATTGTTGAAATAATGCCCTTACTTTAGAGTTACAAAACACTAGTGTGGACCGAGGATGAGGAGATTTCTAAGACATAAAACATCTTGGCACTGAAATGGGAAGTTCTTTTTAAACTTTTATATTAAAAAAAAAAATCTCCAACTGTGAAGGGAAAAATTTCTGTAGCGTTTCCTATATTTTTAAGTACCCCAGATCAGCTCCAGATACCAAGTATCCCTGTCTCTTGATTTAGTAAATTCATACAAAACCTCTGAGTACCTTCACAGCTGATGAAGGTGTTTCACAGTTGAAAAACCTGGTCATACACTCATCAGTCTGCTCCAGGAGTCACTCACTGCTCCATACAGCAGGAAGAAACCAACCTATTAAAAATAGTTCATACCATGTATTTGGTGCCCACTCTCCATTCTGGCAAGGCAGAGCTGTACCAAAGAGTTGCATCTTAACCTCTTACCCTGTATTTGTTAGCTGCTGGCAGCAAAAGCCATTCTGACAGTGCTCAACTTCAGCCACATCACTCTTCTCTTGATCTTTCTTCATATATCCATTGTGAATCTCTGTCAGCCAGAGGCTTTAATAAATAAAAGTAGCCTGAATTTTGGGGGGGTTGAAGGACAGCTCAATTCGCCTTGGATGTTTTCTGCATTAGTGTTGATTTCTCAGACCTCTTCATTCATGGCTTTTAATCTGGAAAAAGCTTTCGGTGGTTGGGATGGGTTCCTAATCCTCAGCTAGCCTTCCTGGTTAGCTTTTCTTCCCTTCTGCTTTCTTGTCATTGGACTCCTTGTTTCTCTTACTTGGATATCGTATGTTATTTCTGGCTATGGAGTACGATACAAGCAGAGGGGATGGCAGGAGCCTGCTGCCAGCACAGAGAACGCAGTACGGACCTTGCGGCTGTGCCTCAGCCATCACACAGCGAACCCAGCCAGCGCCGCTTTTCGGGTGCGCAGCCTCCAGCTGTGGCAGAAGGGCTGGCGGCAACAAAACTGAGACGGAGTCCCGCGGTGGGAGAAGAAACCAAAGGTGAACCTGGATGGCGGGGGGAGCGGAGCCTGGCCTGGCTCAGCGGGCACACATCG